ATTCAATCCAGAAATGACGTTAGCCGTCACACGATAATTGACAAATCTGTGAGAGACAGATGTGATTTCTCTCCAGCAGGGTCATTGTCACAGCAGCTGGACGGGTGTGTGTGAACAAACCAGTCCTGATCCAGTGGATTCACACAACGGAGCTTCTATTTTTACATCAGTCCTGACTGTAGTATTTATAGTCTACTACAGTATACTATTCCACAGTAGCATACAGTGCTGTACTGTACGGTGCCGACCATGTTATACTATACTATAATATACTATACTATAATATAATATACTGCACTGCAACGTACTGTATTGTACTATAGTATACGATGTTATGGCAAACCATCCTAATTTATCTTATACTAAACTATACCTTAATATACTATACTATACTCTACTGTACTATACTACATTTTCCCAGGTTCTTTCCTATGCAGTTCTGCAACATATTTTCAATATTCATTTATATTTCATCTATGCCACATATATTTAAATATTCTTTGTCACAAACACCTTTTTTGTTTCACCTCCAACTATTTTTCTTAGATGTTCCAGTGATGAATATATTTCTCTGAATCCACACAGTCAGGCATCACTGTGACTGCTGATGTTTTGTCACCACGTCAGAGGTCAGAGGTCAGCTTGATTACCACACTGACCCAGTTACTGGACTCTAGGGTGGTGGGAGATCACAGAGTTCTGACCTGTTTATATTCAGTACTCGGTTGGAGAAGTTTTCAGTCAGACTTTACGTTAAAGGCCACATTTTGTCACTTCCTCTCAAACTCTTGGCTGAACTTATTGCCCCAAATGTCAGGCAAATGGGCGAACAGCCGAGCCAGAGGTTCAGAGCCAGAATGTCTTCAAATGTTGAGTTTAATGTACAGTGAAGTTGGACTGATGTGTTGAAACACACGGATTATAGAGGTGAAAAATAAACATTTTTATTCTTTCAGTTTTAATCCACTGATTTAGTCGTTGACCCAAATTTTTGGTGAATAAAAAACCTTGACTTTTTGTGTCAAGTATAACAGTTTAATAAAATGTTCATAATCCTGACTAATTAATTGCACAGCCTTTAATTAATGACCGTTTCTAATATTTATATATGACTCTGTTGCTTGAACTTTGGATTTGTGTTAAAAATGTTCAGTCCAGCAGAACAACTTCTCTGGGAGAGTATGTTTCAAATGTCAAGGACGTGAAGGTCACAACAGGAAGTCGTGAAGCGCTCTTCATGTTAGCATCGCTCTGCCTTCTGGCTCTAGCTTTGATGTTTCCCACGCACTGATTACACTCTGGTGGACCGGCTCGTTATCCTGCTCTGAAAACGTCCTCATTGGTCCATTTGTCCGTTCTTCATTGCTGTTACATTTACATTTATGAATAAGACGACTCATCGCCGTCCTCCCCCCAAACCCCCCGCCTCTCTTGTCTCACCCTTTCTCTCACTTTCTCTAACACATTAACAACAAGCCATCTGTGAGTGGCGCCTTCTCTGGGTGCAGCCTGAATTACAACATGATGGTGTGCAGCAGGAGGGTCTGTTGGTGGCGTTGTCTGTTGTTGGTGCCTGTAAATATTGATGCCGTTTGCAAATTGATATCGAAACGCCAATGACTTCCCTGTGATGCTAAATGTTTGTATCAGAAGGAAAGCTGTCAGACGCGCTGTCTGGAAACCCCAGAGCTGCGTGTGGAGGGCGAGCAGCCTAACGGCGTGTGATTGGTTTTCACTAATTATTTTTGTCTCTCACGCGTCCGTACGTTGTGCTCTGGCAGCTGCAGCTGTGGGAGGGGGTCGGCCGTGGGTGAATATGAAGAGGTGGAGATCGGCCGCCTGGAGAATAAACAACAGGTGGTGGTTGACTGTCAACAAGAGAGTGGTTCTCAAACAGGGGGCTGGGCCCCTTCACTGCCCCTCTTCAATTTTCATTCCTTATTTGTGTCAAAGTAAAGATTTTTTTATCCCTTTTTCACAGACAATAGATGAAGTGAGAAGCTTTGAATATAATAATGTTTATTTGATTTTTTTATTTTTCTTTGGAATCCAGGCTGGACTGGATGTTTTGGCGGGCCAGTTTTGGCCTGTAGGCCGCCCGTTGAGGGTCACTGCATCCTGTAGTGTCAACCACCTGAATCACCTGATCAGGACTAGAAGAGCACAATAAGAGCCAATAAGATTTGAGGGTTAGACTTTAAAAAGCTGTGACTCAGCAGAACTTCTTGTTGCATCAGTGTGAATAAATCTTTTATCGAGCTGTTAACGTGACACTGAGGTTTTTATACGACGCTGGCTCATTAACACGTCAGGTGTTGCCTCATACCCAGGAGTGTGACCTGACTGGTCTGATTCTCAACAGTCACTCAGACATTTTCTTCTTCTTCTGTAGAACTTTTATAACATATTTTGATTTCACACAGAAGAGTTATTTTCTATTAAAAGTAAAAAATCATAATTTTGAATCTGAAACAGAGCTAATTATTTTTTAATTAGGGTTGGTCTTTTTCAGAGGATGTACGAACCAGATCTGTTTACATGTTTATAGAAGTGAAGTCCATTGGTCCATGAAGAGTTAAAGTGACTAGACTGCGCTGAGTGTTGCATTCAGGGTCATTTAAGCAGATGTAACGAAGCGTCTCTGGAACTTTGAGATATTTCCTAACAAAGTACAGTCATGTAGGACTTGTGAGTACTTCTGCCGTGGAGACCATCTGTGTACCCCCGCATGACAGATCAGAGCCACTGAATATTCATGCCCCGTCCTCCCCCCTTATCGCATTAGATCAGAACCCATGTGGCGAGACAGCACGGGGAAAGGCTGACAACACGGTTATATTGTCAGAGACCCTTACAGCTGTGTGTTAAACAGCACATTTGCCAAATGGACGTGTGCTGTCAGTGTGGCGTGGGGTTTAATGTTGTGTGTGACAACGTCCTTTTGTTCAGAGGCGCTAACGGAAAAAAAAAAAAGTTTTCACCAGTCGGAGTTTTTAACCTCTGAACTCCACACAAACAAAGGCTGAAGGCGTTGTTTTGACACAGTACTGTGTGGATATTCACACATATTATAGAATTTTTACATCACATCACATTTGCTGCGTTTTACCCTCAGAAAAATTGCATTATTAATGCAATTTTTATATATTTGATAGAATGGCAGCACTTTCTCTCTTGTCTACAGACCAAAGCCAGGTAGTGTATATAAATATATATATGTATTAAAATCATACAGTTTATATCTGTGTGTTTTTACACTGTCAGACTGAACCAGTGTCTCAGCAGCAGCTTGATTTAGAACAGAGGAGTTGGGCCACGCTCACCGCGGCCACAGATTGGACTCGCTCATGTATGAAATATGAACTCTTGGAGACAAGGTCACTTATATTTGACTTACCTAAATGTGGCATAAAGAGGTATGAATCAATGGGGCCTGGAGAGGTAGCCCAGCAATATTCATTAAGAGAAAAGATGTTCCATCACCATTCTCCAACTATAAAGTTCTTGGGAGGGGGAACTCATGTGAATGATTATTATTGTGTCAGTGCAGACACACACTTAGTTCTTCACATATTTCAAGGGTAAATCATCACAGCCTGATGGCACTCTTCGTAACAGCCGCGTTAATTGCAGGATTTTTACCTTACAGAGTGGAAATGGACAGAGGCAAGAAGTGATTGCTGGATCCAAATGGTCGGAGTGTGACGTGCGCCGGCTCCGTGTGTTCACAGGAACTCTGGGGACTGTTACATATTCCATCACGGAGAGGATAAATCTTCCCATTAAGTGGCTGCTGCTGCAGCACGTTGGTAATTGATGGCGATGTAGTTAAGGCGGAGATGTGACACATTTACAGTGGTGCTGCAGTGGTCAGCTGTGTTTTATGTGCTCTGGTGGCGGTCACATGACTCAGGGTCGCACGTGTGCCTCATGAATCCCTAAAAAGCTGCTCTGTGCTGGCAGGGAACGCAGTTTGTATAAGGGCTTCGGCGGTGGTGGCCAGTATCGCGAACATCTGTTTTTGTGCGGAGAACAATGCGGGGATTCATTTGCATATGCATGGATTCTGCTGTCGTCCGTAAAGGAGGTCATATAGTATCAGCACTTTAAGTAGGCTCTAAAAACACACCCAGGAAAAAGAATCTCTGCAGGAACGCATATAATTATAGGAATGAAACACTTCATTTTCTTTACATATGATCCTTTGGTCTGTGCTGGAGACGATGCTCAGTGCACTGGAAAGGATCACATTTATTTATATTTATGAAAAGAACACAATGAGAAGTGAAAATCTAATTTAAATATATAAGGCAAGTTTGCAGATGCAGTTTGAAAAAAAAAATCAGAGAGAGTCATTGAATTCAAGTTCGTTTTGTCTGATGACTCAATAATTTAACAGATGAACTGAAATGAATTGCTTATGTAAAAAGAGGCGGTAAAACTGATAAGTAAAAAATTATTATTATTTCAAGGCTTTATTTAAGCCTTAAAGGAAGCAAATTAAAAAAAAAAATTTAAGCCTTAAAGAAGGCTAGGAAGGAAGCAAATTAAAAAAGAAATTAGTAAAAAATTAAATGGAGGAGGTTTAATCATTGAAATAATCCAGAGAATACTTCAAATTTGATTGATTTTTCACACATTATTCACACAATAAACAAAACTTTCAAATCAAATGAAATGATTTGAAACATGAAAACCATGAATCTACTACTGAAGGTTTTTTTTTTTAAATAACCCCCAACCACAAACAAAAAGCAAATGATTTGAAACATGAAAACCATGAAACTATTACTGAAGGTTTTTTTTTTTTTTAAATAACCGCCCAACCACAAACAAAAGCACTTGGGTCTCGTGTCCTGTGTACAATCTTCACAATCAAACTGAAGAAGCACTACTGCCATCTAGAGGGCTGGAGTTTTTTTACACACAGCTCTGTCAGTAATTCATGAATTTCTGTTAAAATACTAATATATTTTTGTTGTTGTTCTTCTCTGTTCCAGGTGGTCAGGACGTTGTGGTCAGATGTCCACTCAACCACATACAGTGCATCGGCACAAAAAAGTGCATTCACTTCAACAAACTCTGCAACGGAGCTCGAGACTGTGACGACGGCTACGACGAAGGCGTCCACTGTCGAGGTAAGAGTTAAAGATGTTTCTGTTTCCTTTTATTCTTCTGCCCTCACTGTGGAACACATTAAATATTAACTGTTCTCATTACTGTGGCAATTAATTAGACGATGAACCCGGCTCTCTTTTCGTATTACGATTTGACCCAATTAATCTGGAACGATTTGGTGAATATTATAGTACATGTTAAATAATAAGCTGTGTCTCTCTGCTGTGCTTTATTTTTTTGTACATTAAGTCAATTGTTTCAGAAATGTTGTCGCATGAATTGAAGGTTTTCTGGTACAAACAGTTCACTACTGTATGTTACATGTTATATTGGTGACTTCACTGTACACTGCACCACCGTATGAGTCGTCTGTCAGGAAATGTGTCGTGAAAATGAAAGGACATTTATGATATAATTTTATATATATATATAAAAAAAATTGAAATATTTATTTTACAAAACTCCAAGAATGAAAGACTATTTTTACACTATAGCTTAATGAACGTAGGCTAAATTTATTTACAAATTCCTGACTTTTCTCCACATCTTGACTCCATTCATTCTCGGTTTCACTTGTAAATATTTCCACCACTTCAACAGGAGATAAAGCTCCATCTCTTCTTCTCCTGCTTCACCATCAGTTCCAGCACGTAGACGGTTCTTTCCTGCTGCTTCCAGTACTGTTTTCATCTCTATGCTTTAGTGGTGTATTTACCAGTGCTGCCCTCTTGTGGCCATATATGATCTGTTTGATTTTTTTTATATATAAGTCGCACCCATCTCACCTTCCTGCTTTTCTACTTTCTACTGTCTGTAAACCATCACGTCATCACAGCAGCTCTCACTACTGTCTTCTCATGAATGGATTTTTTTTGTTGCTTATTGTTCAGTAATTTGAATGAACAGAAGTGAGAGAGACTGAGACTCGGTGTCGTCATCCTCCCTGTCTGATAAAACTAAGCTGATAACAGACAAAATGAGAGACAAAGCTCTGTGTCTCTGCACAGTGTTTCCTCACAGTCTTAACAACCAGCGGCTGGACTGGTCTTTCTGTGATATGGCATCATGTGCCTCTGGTTTGTTGTTGTCTCGGCGCAGCATCAGAGCTGACCCAGTCGGAACATGAACTTGTTTGACCTGTGGAGACACAAAGTCACGCTGGGCTTGGACTCCACGTTAGTGATGTACAGGCCCTGATCCTGAACTGTGAAGAGTGAGAAGGTATACACCCCCCCACCCCCCCCACCCCCACTGATGGTCGAAGGTAGACTGTGGTGTGTTTGTGTGAAGACGAGCTGAATCAATACTGACTGATGTGGGAGGGAGAGTGGAGCTGAGTTTTATTTATTTAAAGGTTGTTCGTTGACGTTCAGAGACGGCCCGGTCGTTGACTGTTCACACTGAGATCCAGATCTGTAGGTTTGATGCAGGAGATGCAACCCCACCGTGAGGTCATCTGGAATATAAATAGGGTCGCCTGAAATGTCTAATAATTCATTATAAACATTATAACACATTTCATAAATATAAATTGACTTCAAATTAAATGCGACTGTGAAAATATCTCACAGGCTCTGGGTTTCCTGAGCCAAAAAAAAGTTGGAAACCACAGAATTGATTTGTAAAGATGCCGTAAAATGTCTTCGCTTCTTTTGTTTTTATGTCTTATTTAAAATACCATCACAGTTCATCCAAACTTTAACTGTAGTCAAATCATTGACTAAAGAAAAGACTCACAGAAAGGTCATATGAAGTAGAAAATAAAAATTTGCCGTTCAGGCCCTAAGGACAAGGAAAGTTTGGAGTGGGTTTAAAAAAAAAAGAAAAATCCATATCTTTCCTCCCTGAAAAATGCTGATCTTTTTTCACATCACCTGAGTCTGATCTTCATGGTCAAATTTAAAGGTCTGTTCAACCAACTGACAACACAGCGGTGGTCTGCACGCACCGTCCACCGTCCACAGCGGTGGTCTGCACGCACCGTCCAAACACAGGCCGCAGACATTTCCTGTTGGTTTTATGGAAAACGCATAAACGCCACCAGGGAGCCGCCGTCCAATTTAGCCTTAAAAAAAAACCCAGTGCCCAGTGTTTTACGTCCATTTAAAAATATCTCATAATTTCACTTTAACTGCAGCAGTGTGTCTGAATGTTAGAAGAACGTCGTAAAAAATACATTTCAGTCCATCATGTCAGCAACTCTTCAATAATGACATCATTGTTAAATGCAGAATTCCAGCTGTTTTTCATTTATAGATCATACATGATTAATATTCAGATCGATTTTCCTTTTTTCTTACACGTCCCTTTAAATGAAACCCGTTAGACACAGTCGTCGTCCACTGCAGACCCTGGAATAAAAGAATTTCATGTGTGAAACCATCAAAGATGGAAACTGTATTTTTTTCTCTTTGTTCTAATTTCCTTTTTCTTTTCACCTTATCTTTTTATCTGCTGTAGAACTTTATTTTAAAAACGTCTTTTGTACAGACCGTCAACCTCGCAGTGGTAATCAGGACAAATTACAGCTGAAAGTAAAGTGAAGAAAGTACATCTTTTTCACACCTTCTAGTCATTTTACAAAAACAATAATTTTCTTCTTTTTTATTTTTGTTAAAAAAAAGTAATTTTAGAAACTTCCCAGGTGAGGAGAGTTCGTTTTCTCTCTAAGTCAAAGTAAAACTCAGTGTTTCAGGCAAAAAAACTCCTGTAATCTGTCCTTTAAAACCCCCCAAGGGTCAAAAATATGAAACTAGTCAGAGGCTGGGGGGGGGGAGGGGGATGAGGTACAGTACTTAATTTTCCAGGGGCAGTTTTTCTGGGCTTTTCGGTCCCTGGTGGAGCCTTTCTACATGTCCAGCTAAAGTGTGACCTTTGACCCCAGCAGCTGCTTAAAAAGCTCTACTTTTCTAACATGAACACACACACACACACACACACACACACACCTCTGCTCTGTTTTGTGTGATCCTTCAGTTCTGCAGAGCTGATGACACCACAGTCATGAAGTGGGGGCAGGTGGGGGGGGGGTCTCTCAGCACATACTGTACCTTCAATATAAACCTGAAGAGTAATCATTCAGTTCAGTGTTTACATTTAAGAACAGACCGTCTGTCTGGTGTTCAGCTCCGTCTCAGTCACGACAGACCGTCTTCAATGACTTCCTGACTCTGATTTATCTCTGACGGCTCCTCAGTCACTGTCTGGCCTTTTCATTACTGCTGTGGGTTCACACTGAGATCTTCAGTCTCAGCTCTGGTCACTGTAGACCTCCTTCTGGTCACTGTAATTCACACTGAGATCTTCAGTCTCAGCTCTGGTCACTGTAGACCTCCTTCTGGTCAATGTAGACCTCCTTCAGGTCACTGTAGACCTCCTTCTGGTCACTGTGTTTTTGGTGTCACTGTAGACCTCCTCTGGTCACAGTGTTTTTGGTGTCTGCTCGACTCACTCCTCTCCTGCTGAGGTCTAAATTTGAATCTCCAATCCACCAATCACAAGCCTAATTTTTTTTTTTTTAATTTTTAAGCACGATGATTTCCTGACAGTTCATCTCAGACAGGACTGGAGACTAAGGAGAACCGAGCCCAGAACCTTCCGAATGTCAGGCAGAAACACGGCACCACTGCTCCACTGTAGCTGTGTCTTCAGCACCTTTGGAGGACACTGTGATTTTACCAGCTGATAACAGACGGTCAGCTGCTGCAGGGACAGAGGAACAGATAAACAGTCTGTCCAACCTCTACTTCACAACAATAAAATGCATCTTGGTTTTTTTTTTTAGTTTTTTTTCATCTCTTCTCCACTCCATTCAGGGCCGCGGTTCCCTTTAATTCTTAAAGCCTCACTTTCCCCGACTAAACTCACTAGGAAGCAGCAGAAATCGAGGTCAGCAAAGAGAAGTTTTAGGCAACCAGCTGGGTCTTTAGGAAACTTCTCCCTCCTCCCTCTTTGACCCACCTCTAATGAATATACATGCAGCAGTTCCCCGAGAGGAGCTGATACGAAGGTGCCCTGATGGAAAAACCACCAACCTCTGTTCGCTCACCTTCAGGATACTTTCTTGCTCATTCTTAATCACAGGCTGCGGCTCGTGCAGTGGAAGCTCCGAGGTTCTGACTTTCTGCTCCTGCCAAGACAAAAGTCGGAATTAAATAAACAGCGTTTGGCTGCAGAATGTATTTATTTATAGTTTTTTTTTTTTCCTCAGGAATCATGAAGGCAACGAAAAGAGAAGAAACAAAAAACCTGACATGTTAATGTTTCGACCTCGTGACCTGCAGTTCTTTGGTTTTCATTTTCCTTCACCAATAATCTTGACCGAATCTTAAATTAATTTACAGAAATCCTCCATCGTCTCCTGCAGACAAACGAGTGGTGAAGCCAAACTTTCTGATTTTCTTTTTCCTCATCAGTCAGAGGAGAAAAGAACAGCACACGGCGTTTCAGTTCAGGAGGTTTTGTCTGCAATGGTTCCAAAAAAAAACTAAATATTTGAGTAGTTTCTTTGGGCTTGTTGGCACTCCTGTAGTGGCCAAGGAAATGATCCAGAATTTTCAAAATTATTTTATATTTGGATACTTTTCAAATAATTGGAAATTTTTGGATTTGTGCCTTGGAATTCACGACGAAGGAATTCTCTGACTGAAACAATTAGTCTTGGAACTTTTTGACTCTTGTATGTGCTGCTGAGTTTTTGTAACTAAAAGATAACAAACCTGTACAGTAGATCTGGTTTGTCGTGCTGAAGAAAATTCTGGAAAAAGTCTTAACAACATTTGTTGCTGTTTCACTTGTTTCAGGTTCATTATTGATGTTTTTTATGAATTTTGGCTAAAAAGAGAAACTGCTGCAGGAGTGAAAGTGATTCTGTCAGAGATTTGGAAATATGAAAAGACCTGAGTTCATCTTCTGTGTCAAACACAGCCATGTTATGGTTTTATTTGTTCTTCTTTTTTTAACGACGGTGACTCTTGATACCAAAATAACACAGATAACAACAGTCCAGTCTGTGTTTGTC